TGTTAAAGTACGATATCGTATCAAATGTACTGTCATCCTCAGTACGATTATGGAATCAATAACAATTGTGGTTTTAACCTTGGCGTGTATGAGTGACAGTGTGAATGGATATTGGATTTTATTTCAATTGATTACGTCTTTATGCTTCGTCTATACATATAATAAAATTGTAACTATGCTGAATCTGTACATTAAATATTTTTTGGAAAATCTTATTGAAATAAACATTATTATCGATACAGAGGCCGAATCTATAGTTTATAGAATTTTTGTCTATTACCGCATCACAGAGAAATCACTGGAGAGATTTTTATGAAATTTAGGATGGTGATACTGGTTATCCGGGTCAACATATAGGATACTTTTTCCAGCGGGAAAATAACTCATTTCTGAGAAAAAATACAAAAACTGCAATGTAAGAGTACTATACTAATATGTAAAACCTAAGAATTTGGTTTTTGGTCATCTGAACGCGGGCGGAGCCGTGAGCAATGCTAGTTTTGAATAAGTCTTTGATGAAAATTGTTGATTCGCTTTTGTTACTTTCAATAATCATTTCACGAGTTGTTCTAGTCTTGGATTATTTGGTGTTTTCGCGTTAATTAAGGTTTTGTTTTTGTTTGATTTGTGTTTTCAATTTGATTTATATTATTATTGCCACAATAATTATTTTCTAATCTATGTATTATGTATATATATAAAAATCAATTGACGTTCGTTAGTCTCGCTAAAACTCAAAAACGGCTAGACCGAATAATTCTTTTTTGGTTTGTTGTGGCTGTATCAGGGATGGTTTAAATATAAAAAAAATAGGGCAAACCCCATAGAAACAACTGGAAAATTGAATATTCAGAACTGTTTATTTTGTATGGGAATGACTACTTCGGGTTACTTTCAATAGATGGTGTTAGTCTCCACTAAGTCCTCCGACTTATCATCTACATTGTAGATGATTTTGACGCATTGTTGTAGATTCTACAATAACGCGATAAAATGTACCTAGGAACGAAGCGACGGTGAGCCGCTAGTATGATTATAAAAAATATATAAATATAAAAAACAACTAAGTACAGGTCTAACACATAACCCTCCTTTGGGCTTCCCCGGGCAGTCGGGTAAAAAGTCGAATTAATGGCCTAAGGCAATAATAATGCAAAAATATAATAAGGCGAAAATAATGGCATTCGTACGAATGGGAATAAAGTTATAAATATTTTAAGTAGGTAAATAAATAAAAATAAAACATTGTCAAGAATAAGAGTTTTGGCTTGCCCTTTAGTGGAATCACATTCTGATCTCCAAGGCGACGGCAGCATCCTCACGTACTGATAGCATTGATATCATTATCTAAAATAAATTGTCGTTTCATAATTGAGTGAACTGAAAAAAAACTTCTTTTTTTAAGTTTTTCTTCTTTTGGCACGTTTGGAAAAAAATGTAAGAGTAAAATTTTTAAAATGCGCGCGCGCACCGACAGCCAAAAAAATAAAGTTAGCTGAAAGTGACATGATGAAGTTAGCTGCATTCCTTTTATAAACAGAAAGTTGTGACACACGGGATGAAATCTTTAGCTATTTTTGTTATGTTGTGTTCCAAAAAAGTATAACTCCTTACGTGCGTACATAAGTTTACAAACACTTTTTTTATATTTTTTTATTGGACTACTAAAAATTATTATAAACACGAAAATTTTTATGTGTATATATATTGTGTATGTTTGTTCCTTCTTCATTTAGTTTACAGACTATGACCTGGAATAACACATGTAAAGCTAATATTACGCATCTAGAGATAAACTTGAGCGAAACGATACCTTCGCTAATTAATTTCATAAATCTATACAGATAAATCAAATTTAAGTGTCTGTTTGTAATGTCAAAATAACAACTTTTACTAAATGCATATGAAATTATATACCTAATATGGTACTTATAAATAAACACAATTTTTGATTTTTTTTTGTCTGTCTGTTTGTTCCAGCTAATCCCCGAAATTGCTGGTATGATTTTAAGGGGACTTTCACAGTGAGATAGCTGATGTTATAAGAAGTATCTGAGGCTGCTTTTATTTTAGAAAACAGAATTAGGGTTCCGCTCAAAAAAAAAAAAAACGTACACAGGGACGGACCCGAGCGCAGTGAGGTTGAGTCGCTAGTATATATCATAAACTGTTAGTTTTTTATGCGCGAAACTTCCTGATAGAATAAACCCGCATATTGATACCCACTATGATATAATCAGCCTTATATTGACAAGTGGGTATGAAATTAACCCTTTATCCCATGACAAGTAAGGTTAAGTCCGAAAGGCCTTTCGGATTGGTTTCGTTATATTAAGGCTTTGTTACTTTATAGGTCTTGGTAATGTGATATATCATCATCTAAGGACTACAAAATTCATAAAATGTATAGTTGGAAACTTTCATAGAATGGTAAATATTGGAAAAATTTTGTGTTTAAAGCAACGTAGGTTTATAACTTTTGTTAGTTTATTTACATAGATATGTATGTATATTGCAACTTCTTACACTGTTTTCGCAGTCTGTGCTTAGTTATAATTTATGTACACTGGTAGGTACAATGTCTTAACAATACCGAATCGTCTATAATGTGATTCATACAACTTTTATTCGTAACAGGAATCCGCTTTCTGCATAGTGAGGCAATGACAAAAGTACATTATTTGGACCACTTTACAGCATATCATTTTTAGATGCAAATCAAAGCACATCGACTTCGAAAATATCTGATTATTTATCTACTCTAAATGAAAACCCCCGTTTAGTTATTTTTTACTTTTTAGTGCCTGGAAGTTGGTTTATTTTTAGTTTTTGTAACATTGAATATATTGATAGACTTCCAAAAAAGTGTTTGTGTTATATTGAAAATTTTGGTCTAGATAAAAATTAATACAGCTAAATATTTTAAAAATTATGTACACATTAAATATCAAAATTTTGTATTTATATTTTTGACTCTGGTTTATGCAAAAAGAAAAAAGAATACTCCAAACCTATACCTATATTATAAAGTGGTAAAGTTTGTAAGTTTGTATGTACGGAGTAATCTCTGAAACTACTAATACTATTCTAGAAATTCTTTCAGTAATAGAAAGCTATATTACCGCCGAGTGTTAAAGAGCATTTGAAATTCCGATAAAAATGTGTTTACTGACAGTATTCATAATTACTTTAATTGAAGTCCGAAAAAAATGGCCATCGAGTCACTTTATCGGCTATTGTTAAGCACCTAGGGGTATATCCCAGCGATGCGAGGGTAAGTGGCTAGCCTTTAATAAAAATATACATAGCTGATGAAGATGAATATATAATACTAGCGACTCATCCTATGTATGGTACACGTACGTTACGTTTTAACGGTTAGTATGGAATAGATAGACTGTATATTATTATATTATATATGTATTTATACATAGGTATGATGAGTTTTATTTCCCTTACTTAAGAAATGATTCATTCTCTATACAAACTTTCATCCCCTTTTTCACCCCCTTAAGGGATAATTTCCGAGATTAAAACTATCCCATGTCCATCTCAGGGTCTCAAACTATCTTCATACCATTTCATCTAAATCGATTCAACGAAGTTTTAGTTTATCTATTGCAAACTAACATACAAACATCCAAAAAAACATTTTTTTATTTGTAATAGTAGTATAGATTTATGAATTAACCAACAATTATTTCAAGCTTTAACAATAATAAATCTTAAAAACAATATTCGCGCTTGAATTTATATCTTCCAGAAAACTCTTATTCGTAAGCTTTTTGTGCTCTCACGACTGGCTTTAAGAAGAACATAATAAGTTTTCATCTGCAATGTGGTAATCGTAGGTTTTGCCGCAATATTTTCGCAGGGAATACATAATTGTGCCAGACTTACCTACTTTTACATATTAATTGTATCTGCCGTGTAATACCAAACATGATTAAATATTGCTTTTATTATTACACTAGCGACTCACCTTCGCTTCGCTCGGGTTCGTCCCTAGCTTGCTTTCCAATACAAATTTTCATCCCTAATTTCACCCCTTTAAGGGATGATTTCCGCGAGAAAAAGTATTCTATTTCCTTTCCAGGATCTCAAACTATCTTCTTACCAAGTTTCATCTAAATCGGTTCAGTAGATCCTGCGATTACCCCACTACAACGTCACAAACTCACAAACTTCACCTCTTTATTATATTAGTATAGATTAAAACATATATTTTAAATTAATTATAAATTTTCCCATGAAAAATTTTTTGCTCTTCGCCTTAACATATCACTTTTAATACTGCAGTTTTTAATACGAACAAAAACATACTGTAGTATAGTATACATGATACTTGCGACTTTCTTTAAATTTAATAAGCGCACGTACTCAGGCTGCAAATAAAATATACGAGTATTTCTACGTGCCATGATTATAAACCTTTCTATATCAGTACAGATTCGAATATTTTTGAGTAAGACGGAGTTTTATAATCGCGCGTGCTGATTTTACCCCTTACCTATCTTTTTCTTTTTGCGTTACTGAAATTCCGTAAAAATCAATCCAATCATTATAAATATGAATATGTTGGGACATTAACACACATCACCATCTAGTTCCATGGTAAACTACGAGTGTTGTGTTATGGATATCAGATATTAAATAGTTGATACACTACACATAAATAACTTTAAGTACATACATATTACATAATATACCATGACTGGAGTACAAACATTCGTGCTACACAAATGAATGCCCCCAACGGGATTCGAACCCGCGACCGCTGGCACAGCAAGTAGGATCACTACAAACTGAGCCAAACGTGTCGTCATTATGATTGAATTATCCTGAACAGAAAGACAGGCAGACGAAAACCGTTGTTTGGTTGTTGGTATCGACTATCATGGAAACAACATGAGCTCCATGTAGGTAAGCTAATCATAGACAAACATTTTTCAATTTATAAGTACAGATTTAGTATTTTAAATTACTATTTTATCACTCACCTTGACTGGTGATGAAGACAACCAAAGTTGAAACAGGTCAGATGTAACCGACGTACTTCGCGCTTCATGCCGTGGTCTGGGAGACAAAGGACCACATGAAGTCAAGTTATGAAGTCTATTTACTTCATCTACTGAAGCGCACTCTCTTATATAACGATCCAGTAACTTTGGCTTGGTTTTCAAAATATTTTCAAGCTCTAACAAGTCTTCATCAGTTGTGTCATCTGGTGAAGCCCTATCAATCACCTCTTTGAATTCATCAGCACATTGCATGATCAGTTCATTAGTAGCTAACACGTCGTATACGACCTTATTGCCTAAATCATTTAGACTAGACTCTTTAAAGTAATCACTATCACATCTCGCACTATCTAAATCTGTTTCACAACCATTCTGTTCCGTAATCTCGACTATAGTCATCGGTGGGTTTTCTTTCAGCATATTGTTGTTTTCGTTGATACTTGGATCAATGTCTACTAACTGAACTGAAGTTTCTATCTCCACTGGTAACTCGTAAACTAGGTGCATCAACTCATGGGAACGCTTTAAATATTCTTGTTGTTTATCGACTTTGGTATCTGAGTTTTCGTCCGGCGTGTCTTTCTTGTCTGCCTTTTTTGCGACCACATCGATTGGTTTTTCAGATGTCATGGCAGATTTAGTGGGTGTAAGTGAGGTTATACACAAATTCGTACAGAACTGAGATCATTTTTCTTTCTTTTAAAAATAAGTGCGCCAGTTTTACCTGAAAATAAAAGATAATATATTTAATTATTTTAAAATTTTATTACTGAATATATTCTAAACAACAACAAAAATCCAAAAAGATTGTTTAATTAAAATGTCAAATATTTGAGTAAATCTAGGAAAGTATTATTATAAAGTTTAAAATCTTTACATTTAGTTTTTTTTTGGAGCTGATAAAAATGTAAGAAAGGTCTAAAAAATTGAGATATTATGTAAAGATAGTGAATACACTCATACTCTTAAGATGTAAAGACAGAAAGGTATCTGTAATAAAAATTATAAGTATGAATAAATCTACATAATATATCTGAAATATTTTGTTGCCAAACTATACATTTTTGGCCAAAATCTCCAATAATATTAAATTATATTCTAGTTATTATTTAACATAAGAAATGACAACATTCTTATGACAATAACTTTTATTTTACGCTCGAAATCCGTAGGGAATGTCTAGTTTGCGATATATTATTCTTTCAATAGATTCGTCAATCTGTCGGCCGATAAATCTCCTGTGGATATTGGTTTTCAGCGAACCAATAATTTCTTTTCACCGATTCCAATCCGAATCCAAAATTGGTTGGTACATACAAACACTAATGCGTATTAAATAAAAAATTATACCATGTCAAAATTGTAGGCAATATAAACCAGGACTTAAAGAAATATCGCCTTGCAGAATTATGAACAAATATATCCCACGGGAACCGTACATTTTTCCGGGATAAAAAGTAGCCTATGTATTCGGATAGCTCATAGCTATATTGTAAAATTTCATTCAAAATCCATTCAGTAGTTTTTGCGTGAGAGAGTAACAAACATCGATACATGTATAGATCCATCCATCCTCACAAATTTTCGCATTAATAATATTAATAGGATTTACAGAAATATCGATAAAATACATAATTTTCTTAGATAATGCTGTTTTTTCGAAGCTTTTGTATATATACATTGTGCTACTCTAAAAATCATTTTATATAAGGGGAAAATACGAGTAGTACAGGATCTATTACATGTTGTAGACTGCGTGCGTGTCAAATTCAATAAACTAGTCGAAAGAATAAACCAAAGAAACTTTTTCGCACTTACAATATTAGTTTATATAACAGACTAGCTTTATAACCAACTGTAACGTGTGTTACAAATATATATATTTATTTTACAATGAAACGACTTTTTAAAATGGTACATCAACTACAAAATCACTTAACGCCATTACGGGTGGAACTTTTTGGTACTAATTCATACTACCATTAAGGTATAATCTATTTATTAAAAATAACAATGAAAATCGTTCAGTTATGAGATAAAAGAGCAAATATATATATATATATATATATAAACAAACAACCAATTTCATTAGCTCCTCCTGCCTCTTGAAGACTGTTAAAAATGATGAGCCGCCCCATTTTTTCCATTAATGAAGAGCTGTTTAAACAAAAATATCTTTTGATAAGTTTATCTTTCTTTTGATTTTGATCTTTTGATTAGTTTGTTTTGTGACCTCAGAAATCATTCATCATGATTATTTGTAACGTTTTTATCTATATTAATTGCGACCCTTAGGCGCTATATTGCGAAAAGCGTAAATAACATCAAATATAAAAATGTTTACTCGCTAATTGATTGATTTGATACCACGAAACCAAAGAAAAGTTTATAAAAAATTTCGCTTACTTTTCAATACTTCGATGATTTTTTGCGAAAATGGTAAAATAAAAGTCTAAACTTTTACTTACTTCTTACAGCTTACTGGATTTAGAATAACTAAATGAACAAATGAATACTCATGAATAACCAATGAATAACAATGTAACAAATTTGTGAATTTCATAATAATTATACGACACGTTGGCTCAGTTTCTAGTGATCCTACTTGCTGTGCCAGCGGTCGCGGGTTTGAGTCCCGCTGGCGACATTCATTTGTGTGATGAGCACGATTGTTTGTACTCCAGTCATGGGTGTATATATTTATAATATGTGTGTATTTAAAGTTATATATGTGTAGTGTATCAACTATCTAGTATCCATAATACAAGCCTCGTAACTTATCACGGAACTACATAGATGATGCTGTGTGTTAATGTCCCAACAACATATTTATAATAATAAACTTTAATACAAAAACATATATTTAAAAAAATAAACCATTTCGTTCTCTAACCATTAGGGGCAAAACAAATATATATAACCATTAGTAGCAAGTCAGATGAGAAATGATTAAATGAAGTCGCTTGAGTAAACCATAAAAAACGAAATTACATAAATAACATCAAATCTAAAAGCTTTTACTTAATAATGAATATGAAATAGACGTGAAACAAACAATTCTAAATAGCAGTTAAGAAGCCAATTTGTTGGTAGATTTCGGCTAACAGTTGTATAATTTTGTTTTCACAATAATCTAGAAACAAATTGCAAGTGGACTAAGTCTAATAGCGTTCGTTTTAGTTAATGTAATGAGGCGGATGCTTCGACTTTAAAATATTTCAAACGAGCTAGATATTTATTTTAGACCTGATTTATTTTTTCGTGTAATTAGATTTTTACTTTTAAGCTGAAATATACCAGATCTTTTAAGCTATTTAGTTATTTATATGTACTTTGTTTTCGCTTAAGCATTTTAGATACCATTTAAATATACAATGTGATTTTAATATATACATAAGTTGGTAGTAATGCCTTTTTTCTGAATAATAAAATATTTATATTCATAAGCCCATGCTACGTATTATATACGTAATAGGTATTGTATACGTAAATGCCAAAATAAAGAGTAGTCATGGCGGGTTTGGTTTGTAGTTGCTAGGACATGCTGTAGATTCGATTTACGGTTGATTTTATAGTTTGGGATCATTATTTGCACACATACAAACACACGGATAAAGCTTACATTTTCAGACCTTTTACGTATAAAATTCGGGTATTTATATTTAACGTCAAAGGTGGTGGGATAACATATTCATTAACTTTTTTAATGATTGAATGATGATGAAAATCTGATTTAATGATTGAATTATGATGAAGATGAAGAAAATCTGATTACAACATACACATAAAAAGTATCGTTAAAAGTCGTCGAAAGCGTAAAGTCAAAGTTGGTTTTACATGATATTTATAATTATTCAACGATAAGCTCGTGTAGCTTTTATGTCGCAGTATGCCAGAATAACTGCACCTTTGATAACATAAAGGGATCCGTCCACTTTACGGAGCTTTTTAGAGCGCAAAGCTATTACCGCTACTGATGAAAACACAACATGCATTTCATTATGATCCAATGTAAAATGTCAGGTTTCTCGTATGACACTAACTACCTGTTTCAATAATGCTTTAAACTTTTAAATTTATTATAAAGTAGTGCGTATCCCGGCTTTGCCTAGGTGGGTTTTGTAATTAGATAAATATTGCCTATATTAATATATAAAACTTTAAAATTTATTTTTAGCGGGTTGATCTCTGATCTTACTGGTAGGATTAAAAAAAATATGTGTTTTATAGCCTACTAGCAGAATCTGCGGCGTCACTCGTGCTGAAACTACAAAAAAAAAGTCTAAAAAGGTAGGCTTCATACAAACTTTCATGATGCCCTATTTTACCCCTTTATGAGACGAATTCCGAAAAATGCTAAAACCCGTATTTATTTAATTGTATTCAAGAGAATTAAATTAAAACACCCTTTTATCCATATATTTAAAACTATTTAATACAATATACATATATGTGAACCTATTATTTTATGCAAATGTAATGTAAAGGTCTGGATCGCTTCATTTTCAATTCCGATCCATCCATATAAAGTAGGTACCAATATATTCTAATATTATTTTCTCCCCTAACCTGTGTGGTATATATCTATACCTGCTAATATACCTATGCATTATAAAATTTAACAGTTTTTTTTATGTTTAAGCGTGCTAATCTCTAGAGTTCAAAAGACACAAGTTTGCGCGTTAACCGCTAAAAAGTCGCCATTTATCGTAGCTCCTCAATTTGAGAACACTCCTCTGTCTCCCACAGCCAGTATCGGAATACTTGGCGTCGACATCTCGAGCAACGTCCAGTTCCGTGGTCAATTGGAAGGTAAGGCCAAACTGGCCTCAAAGAAGCTTGGTGTGCTCAGCAAGGCGAGACAGTACTTCACGTCGCGTCAGCGTCTTATTCTTTATAAGGCGCAAATTCGGCCCCACATGGAGTACTGTTCTCATCTTTGGGCGGGAGCTCCCCAGTACCAGCTACTTCCATTTGACCGCATTCAACGTAGGGCGATTCGAGTTATCGACGATCAAGCTCTCTCCGATCGGCTTGATCCTTTAGCTCTGCGTAGAGATGTTGGATCACTCTGCATCTTCTACCGCATCTATCACGGGGAGTGTTCCGAGGAATTGTTCGGACTGATCCCGGCTGCTGAATTTCACCATCGGACATCGCGCCAAAATAGTAAATTCCATCCAAACCACCTCGATGTCCAGCGTTCCACAACAGTGCGATTTTTAAGGCATTTTCTGCCCCGCACAACCACTCTGTGGAACCAGCTATCGCCGGCAGTCTTTCCGAACCGCTACGACCTGGCCACCTTCAAGAAGAGAGCGTATTCCTTTCTTAAAGGCCGGCAACGCATCTGCAAGCCCTGCGGTGTTGCAGATGTCCATGGGCGGCGGTGATCACTTTCCATCAGGTGAGCCTCCTGCCCGTTTGCCCCCTTAGACCCATAAAAAAAACTCTAGAGCCACCAACTTATTTATTGAAAAAGATTACAAGAAAATACGCTACATGGATGACTCTTAGAAGCGGACAAAGCGGTGCCAGCCGATACAAAGCAAAGCACACCGACTTCGAAAATATTTGATTAGGTATGTATAGTAAATGAAAACTACCAATCAGTTATTTTTCACTTTTTA